TGGTTTCAAATGCCATCCAGGCAGGACAGATGATGATGGTCTTGCTGTAGTTTGAACATGTTTGAATGAAACGACACAGCTGTGTTTCTTGTGTCCTCCTCACCCTGAACTGTCCATAGATGGAGATCATGGAGAAGAGCAGCACCACAGCCAGAGGGCCCCAGAAGTCTGGGTTGTCTCTAACCACCTGCCGGTTGTAACCCAGTGATGGCATTGGCATCAGCACACATCGAATCTTGTAATAGATGTCCTTTATATCAATGTCCAGCTCCTCCCTGTTCAAAAAAACAAGATGACATGATCATCACTGGTGTTAAGGTCAAGTCTAACCCAGCCAGTTTCAATGGTAAAGATCACAAAAACAGGATCTACAGATGTGTTTTGAGCAAGCAGCACAAAGTGAACTGAACTGTTCAGAAGCAGTGGAATGATACAACTGTGCAGCCTTCACCTTAAAGGGGATCTATTGTTTTATTCCTCTGATATACATCTTGTTCCAATAGTGCATGCTTGCATTACGTATTATCAACATGATCCTGGTCTTGTGTACTCCGATGTCTGTGTTATTCCATAGAGAAGGAACATCTCTGTCACAGGTATCTCCGACACACTGCTCTGGGTTCGGGTAGAGAATAAGTTCCCCGTAAGTAATCCTACAGTTTCCACATCTCAGTACAGTTATAAACAGCAGAAACATTTCACTACAAGTCCTCCCAGTTATCTAAAAGAAGTCTACACAGTGCAGCCAAGTCGATGTGAGTCATAATACAACACACTTAAAGCACTGTGGCTGTTCCTACAAAATAAAACCACCATGCACTTACAGAAGAGGTTTGCTCTCTTCATTGTCCTCTTCCTCCACCTCCAGCAGCCAGCCGTAGCCTCGTTGTCTCAGGAAGGTGGTGGCATACGGGTCCTTCCCACTGTCACTGCCTATATTCAGTTTAACATCTGGAGTGCTGATGGTGCCGCTGAGTTCTGAGGATGACATATTTGTTTACATTGTGTAATGTGTGCTTTTAGACTGGCACGGCTCCAGAAATACACACTGCAAGATGTATGACAACTTTAAGTCCACCACTATAACCAGTTCTTACTCTCAATGCAGCCTTACCAAGCTGACCAATAATCGTCCTAATTAAAATTAGGATGTCAAAGTAAACATTAGTGGCAGCTCCACTCTAAACATAAAGAGTGAGACCGATGCAGGCAAAGGTTAAATCTTTTTTTTTTTTTTTTAAAGGAAGGTATTTCAGCGTGCTGCCAGAGCGCACTCGCCTGGCATGTTTAACGAGCCCCTGTCCAATCAAAAACCGGTTCCCAGGAGTTCAGTTCCTTGGAAATGTTAGTCTGTTTATCTGTTGATCTTGCTTACTTGATTGGAATTTGCATGTCAGAGGAGGAAAATACCAGCACAGTGTACAGCATGGATATGGACTTTTATTTTACTTTTATTGCACAAAAGGGTGAGAGCGTGATGGTAAAACGAAGATGCATCCAGGACAGAAACAGCTGCATTATGCTAATCAGAAAGCAAGCTAACTCTAAGCTAGTCAAGAACCTGAGTGAACTCTGACCCCAGCCAAGCAGCCAGACCCTGAACTTCAACAGGCAACAAACAGCCTCCATTGTTACCTTCTGTAACGTTTCTGTACAGCAGGATCACTGTGGGGATCGCTGTGAAGCGTCTTTGTACTGGTTTCATTTTGGTTTGCTGTTTTCAGCTCTGTGTTCATACTTAAATACTGTAGCCTCAGGTTTATATTGTTCAATGGCAATTATGAGACAATGTGCTCCACCCATTTTATAGAGTTACATAAAATAACATTATTTTCTCCTTTGAGTAATAAAGTAACGTACTGCGTTACTTTTTATCCAAAAAGGTATTGCGGCCTAAATCACTGATCCAAAATCACATATGTGTGTTCAACCCGGATGACATCTAGTGACTATAAAAGCCATAACATGTGACCCATTCACAGTAACCACTGTGGACGGATGAATTTGGATGAGAGTGAAATGTTTCATCCCAGATAAAAGTGACCACTTATAGCAAGTCTGTATTGACAAGCAGGGACTTTTCCCTTGACGTGGAAACAAACCCCTCCGCATCATAACAGCAGCAACCAGACCTTCACCCAGGAGAGACTCAGAGCCACTTACTCCATCACAATTTAAGTAGTAACATTTAATTTCTGGCTTAGCCAGTAAACTTGGTACTCGGCAGCTACGTTCTCCACCAGCCACGTATCAGTGCTGAAGTTATTTAGCAAAGCTAAATGACAGACTGTCTACCTGTGAATTACTGTGTACTAATTACTCAGAAATGCAGAGTCAGCCCACAGCAAAGGGCTATTTCTTAGTGTGGATTGATCTACACCTGGGTATCTAATCTAACTCGTGACAACGAAAATAAACGACGTGAGCAGGTACGAGGCTAGCTCTTTTCAGGCCTGCTAGCTGCGTAGCTCTGCTAGCGATAGCCTACCTTCAGCCTCGGTCGAAGACACGAACGTGAAATCTCCGTTGGTGGGAGAGAACTGCATGTTTCAGTTTCTATTACTGCCACACGCCTTGGCTCCACAGAAATTGCATTTAGTGACACGTTAATAAAGGTGTCATTGGTCACAACTCTTCAGTGAAGTTCAACTACCGCATCTTGTTTTCTTTCCGACGTTGTGCGCTTGGACGTAAGCAGGAAGTGCAGATGATGCTAGTAAAGAGTACACGTCTTGTGATGCATTCATGTCTAATCATGATGGTCGGAAACTATCAGAAAATCTTTGTTAAGTTCAGTGTGCGGAATATATGCAGGGGTGGAGGGAAGGGGATCCACAAAAATAATTCAGGAACCACACGTGGTCTTTTATACTCTAAAGCCTGGTGGAGTATTTATGTCAATTTAACAAATTATAGATTAATTATAATTTCAGCTAAACGTCAGAACTTGACAACAGCCTTTAATAAAATTATGTTTTTTTGTTTTTGAGTATTTTGTTAATGAAGTTAATGTACGCCATATTCTCAGTCTAACGTTTTCCCCTGCAGACACATGTGATGGGTACAAACTGTTAAATATCCCCCTTAATACCCCTTAAATCCTGCTCGTACTGTACTGTGTCGTTAAGTGCTTAACGATATTAGGGCTACGAAAATGCATCAGAACAAAATGTTGTTAATTTCAAAAAAATGAACAGTGCCCCAAGTACTGCAAAGCCTGAGTGTATTTTGTGCAAAGTAGAGTTCAGTGTGTTTTGATCACAGGGTATCTACAGGCAGGTCATAGATCATAGGCTCTCATCTACATCCAGCTGAGTGTGATCTGCTCACACTTGCCTGCAGTGCACATTTTTACGTGATTCTTTTTCAGCTTGGTATGGGAGATATTTTGCTACCAGATATATTATTATTATTATTATTATTATTATTATTATTATTATTATTATTATTATTATTATTATTATCATTATTATTATCATTATTATTATTATTCAAATGAATTTACACATACATTTTGGTTTAAGAAAGAAAGCAAAATTCACAGATGCATTTGAACATGACTTCTTCGCTTTTGCCAATGACTGTTTTCTACAGTTGGACTTTTGGATCCAGCCTCTAGTGGCCCTTTGGTGGAACTGCAGTATTACAGGAGGTTAGCACTCTGTACCGGCGTACTTCGTTTCGCAAAGAGGCGGGTAAACAGTGTAACGGGACAGAAACATGGAGCCAATGGCATGTCGCCGAATCTCTGGTGGTGTTCCCACAGCTGCGACTAATGTGGAAGATTTGAGTTGCACCCACATCAACAAGACACGGGTCGTTACAGCAGCCCTATGGACACGCCGTAGCGTCACGCCGGTGATGTTTTGAAGCACACTCCCTTTTCTATGACGTTCCCTGCCTCTTAGTGAATCTAGCCAATAGCAACATCTCTTACTGAAATACTTCTTTTGCCGCTAAAATCAAACTCCCTCTAGTTTTCTGTCGTCGAGGTCTCTGTTGGTGTCGCTAATTTCGAGAAAAAGGTAAGTTTAACTTTTAACCTTTAGTCGAATTACGTTAAACTGCTTTTGCGTGTTGTCGTCTGAGGAGACATGTACACTGACAGTTGTAGGGCCCGGAAACTGTCCAGTTTTGTCCTTTTCCCGACCAGCTACCTTTTAATCGACATACGATAACAAGGCGTTTCCAGTGTGATTTTCACCACTGTTAATCTGTTGAGCGCATTCAAACAGAAACGTCTGCGCTGACTTATTGTTGTCATTGTTACGGAGCGGAGCAGCTCACGTGCAAATTATCAGACAAACATGAAGTAATTCACACGTGCTCATGAATGAACTGATAGGTAAATATAGGAATGTGATAACGCTGTTTACCACATACGGTTATATTTACACGAAGTGTGACAACTTTATAGCTAAAGCTAGTTTAAAAATAATAAAACAACGTGTGGCATTTAAATCTAAATCCGGTTTACTGTGCATGTGGCTTTAACATTAAATCTGAAGCCTTCAAACAATTCTCAAGTGAAATAGCAGGTAGCAAAATATTAGTCACTGTAGGTTTGGAGGATATTTTTGGATGCACTGATATATCTGCTGAGTGTGGGTAGAAATAATGGGCCTGTTGACTGACACTGACAGATGGCTGATTTTGCTTTATTTATTTTTTAATCTGTAGTGTCCCGTCAGTCTTACACTGTCAAAATGTCATGGAAAAATGAAGAGCTGTAAAGAAAGCAAGCAGAATTATCAACAAGCAAATCCTTATAATTGATGCATCAGAAGAAACCTCCACTTGTGACATAGTGCTGTTAAACCTTTATTCAGTCCACAAAGTCCATTTTAGTCTAAGGTGTCCAAGCTAGATGCACCCTCTCTGAAGGTGTTCTTTATCCCTTACTGATGAGGATTTCTCATGCTCAGAATCGGCGTGGCACCGATCACTGCTGAAAATGGGAATCTCTGGACTGCTGCAGTTCATCAAAGCTGCAGCCGAGCCCATCAATGTGAAGAAATACAAAGGCCAGACGGTAGCTGTGGACACCTACTGTTGGCTGCATAAAGGAGCTTTCTCGTGTGCTGAGAAACTTGCTAAAGGAGAACCGACTGACCAGTAAGCAGTTGTGTTATTTTCAGTCAATTAAAACGACCCTGTTGCTGTAGGGTCTTCATCTGTTGTTATGATTTGGCACAATGCAAATAAAACTGAAGTGAACTAAAGGTGTTCTGAATGAGGCTGTTTTCTGATTAGGAATGGCCGAAAGTCTAGAACTGACAGTGGTGTTGAATTTGCCCCATCCAGGTATGTGTGGTACTGCATGAAATTAGTGGACATGCTCTTGACCTTCAGTGTGAAGCCCATACTGGTGTTTGATGGACGCAATCTGCCTTCAAAACAGGAGGTGGAAAAGGCTCGCAGAGAGTGAGTATTTAC